CCCGCAATCCCCGCACAAAAAGAAAAACAAAGATCTGGCCAAATATTTTGTAAGTTTAATTTTAACACTTACCACTCTTACTCCAGCCGCGTTGTCTAGAATAAACGACTCAGACAGGGTTCGTTTAAAATAGGGACAACTGCCGCTGCAGGCGCAGGATACTTGAAAGGTGAAGGGGGCCATTGCCATTGCGGAGTTCCGAAACTCAGTGTGGTGTGGTGGGCGGTGCGTGGCGGTGGCGTTTCGCGACGGCCCGTGACCGCGCGTCCTTTCCGTGCCCTCTCGATTGGAAAAGAGCTAATCGCCCGGACTTAATCCATTATCGCATCATCCAGCAGTGTGAACGATCGTAGCAGGTCGGTGGTCACGCCGGCCCTCGCCATGGTTTTCGTGCTGTTCTTTTTTTCTTCTTTTTTGGTCGTTTGTTTTGTCTTTTTTTGAACGGCCAAGAGTGTACGTGGAAGCATGCGCAGGATAGCGTGTTCTTGCCGGATCTCACACTTTCCTGCGTGTTGCCACAGCACACACTTTACTGTTTTTTAAAATATGGTATACATTATCCAAGGGTAAGGTACCCTATCTCCCGTCCAGGTAAAAAAATTGAACGTGTCTGATCAACCTTTCTGTCTTACGTGTTGCAGGGACCATGCAGGGGCCGCACGAGAAACGGTTGCTAGAAGACCTCCTTGATGATTACAACGTCCTGGAACGACCTGTGGCCAACGAGTCGGAGCCTTTAGAGATCAAGTTCGGGCTCACCCTCCAGCAGATTATCGATGTGGTATGTGTCAGTCTCGGTGTGGTATAACACAGATGCGTCTCTGCAATCCACTCTTCTGGGAAGAACAGTGTGTTACTTGTACGTGGCGGCACACTTTTGATTTTCCTTTATAGGTGTAGCAAAAAACAGTTTCAGCTGTTTGTAGAACTTCCACATCAAACATTTTCCCGAGAAGTTCCCGGTTGGATCCAGAAGTACTTTTTCCGGTTGCTGCAAATATTAACACACGCATAGATACGACGAAAAATAGCATCCGGGAAATTGCCTTCCGGGTTCAACCGGGAACTTTCCGGATAAGTATTTGCTGTGTCGTGTAATGCTGGGGAGCTCGAGCTGCTACCCCCTATCAAGGAGTTCTGCTCTACTAAGTGATAAACGTTTTCTTCTACACTACAGTTGCAACGAACTGAGTATTTTTCCTGCACCTATAGCTATGGCAAACTTTTGTCTCTGTCAGCTAGGAGCAAAGTGCTCTAAATATAGATTAGCAGAGTTCTGAAGCAATGTGTGTTAACTTGTCAGTACCTCTCAAACCGCCGAGCCACGTGGTACATCTAAACACCGTTGGAAAACCCCAGTTACCTGCGAAACTCGTATTAAGACTTTTTTCATCAACTTTAATGTTTTTATCTCAGATTGGGGTAAGTCAACTGAGTGTCTGTGCGGAATGCAAAACACTGATATCTCAGTGGCCTGCCTACAGAAACTTGGCTGGTTTTAACTTCGCATCATTTGTATGTTCGGGGGTAGTGAACAATCGCCGTGTATACTGACTGGGAAATCTAGCCTTCACAGCTTCTTCAGAAGTACATAAGGAACCTTTTTTTACCAAAGAAAAAAAAGTACATCTGAGCAAGTCCGCACTGTACCTCTGTCACTCGTCCACGGACTGTTCTTCGCGCGTGAAGAGTTTCCTCTTTCTTTTAAAAGCTTTAGGTTCGAATCTATAAATATACGCAATAATAAATTTTGTGTATCGGGTTATTTCCGATGACAATTTTGATCACTACTTACGTCAATATAAATTAATGTAGTTTTGTCGTTTTATCTGGTTTATGGTAAAACCACAATTTGATTCACAGCTAGTATCCTGACGCTTGGAAATCAGTCTACTTTTTGACTTTTAATCTGATACTTGGCGTTTCACTTGCACTTTCTAGAATGAAAAGGATCAAATTCTGACAACCAACGCTTGGTTGAATTTGGTAAGTCCTCGGTCTGTGAACCAGGGAATGGTGCCTAGTGTGTGTATCCATGTCAAATGTCATGTCTGCTCATGTCGCGTTTCTCACCTCTTCCTTGGCAAGAAGCGAATGAACAGGAAACTGTTTAAATGCACTGCTGCAACTTTTATTCTCCCACAGTCTCTCCTCTTTTTTCGCTTCTTTCCTCTCCCAAATCCACATTCTCCGCAAATTGCCAGGACAAGGTCAGCTAATGCTGACCAGTGCTGTATAAATTGCATGTTCTAAAGAAATTGATTTGTTGAAGCACAAACTTGGTTTTGCGGAGAGCTGTTACTGGCTACGGCTTGAAAGTGGAGTGAATGGCCTGGCTCTGGCTAGTAGCTCTTCTGTCAAACCGTGCGCTTCCCTCACATTCATCATTCTGGCAGGCATGGTTACTGCATTTCATTTAGACAACGAATGATGGGTGTCTCCTAAGGGCCGGGGCGAGCGGATTGGCATGGCTTCTTTTCCCGCGTTGTCTCCAGCTCGCCCCAGCCGCTCCCCTCACCTTTCCCCCGCGCTGCATGTTGTCTGTTCACTGTGTTGATTAAACTAACAGCCAATGTTTTTCCGTTCTTTTTTGTTGTGTCTGACGAATAGGATGAGAAGAACCAACTCCTTATTACAAATATTTGGCTTTCGTTGGTAAGTTGTACTAAACGTTAAAACGAAATAATAAAACAAATCTTGGCACACACGGCAGACGCATATACTATATTGTTTCTTTTGTACTCTCGTACAATGTATTTTTGCGAACTGTAGAACCTTGTATGTAGATCTTTATACACTATCTTTTCTCAACATACCGGTTTGTCACCTGTATATACTGTGTACCCGAGCAGCTTACACTGGAGCTCAGTGCCGCCTTTCATTCAAACCCAGGGTTTAAGTGCTATCAAATTTAGAAAATAGCGCAGAAACGTTTCCCATGAACATGTGGATGCCGAATGTTTCCGGCATTTCCTAGGCATGGGCTCCACAATTCCACATTCTTCTCCAAGCTTTTTAGAGTGTAGGTTTGTTCACAAAATAACACAAAAATAGTTTGTACATTTTGGACTCATAGTGCAACACGTCGGTTGCTTTCTATCTGCCAATTATGAAAAAATGAATGGCCTCTTTTGTTCGCTTTAAGAATTTATGGTTATTTTACAAATGCTAGCGTTTGTGTTGTGCTATCGGATACATATCCGTGGTACACTGAACCATTAACCGACGTGTTCCACCAACTAATCCTTGTAGGTTACACACACAGTCCAGTACATGCATATAGTAGGACAAATGGATTTCAAATGAATGATCACAACAAAAAAACACACAAAACCAATAATAAAACCCCCAAATATATTTTTTTTGAATAATTAAAAAAATCTCCACGTAACATAGATTAACCCTAGGAAAACTAACATTACAGGAGCTGGTAAATACGGCTTTTGAAGATTTAGTAATGCAACTAAGGTTGTTGGAGTTTTTTTCTCCTAAACACACATCCGTGAAAGTGAGATATGTAACTTTACTCGCGTTATTATTTGACATTCCTGCCTCTTGTATCACTTTACCCTTTTTGTGCCAACCTCTTTCATCGCACAGCAAGCAAAATATAAACGTTGTTTCAGGATATTGGCATAGGGAGAGCGGTGAGTTCTGACAGAAACTGTACGTTTCAAAACATCAAACGTTTTCAGGGCTTGGAGAGTATCTTCTGTTCGTGAACGCAATCTTCATATGTAAATTCTTTTATTTAAGCGTATACATTTCTTCTTGGTGCTGTAATTGTTCGAAAGATGTGTTTCCATTTTCTCAACTCATCGTAGCATTTTGATTCCTACTTATACATAGTATATAGGTCTTATTGTAATAATTTATCAGCCCATCGTACTTCTTGTTCCTTTCTCTGTTCGATAAGTTAAATTTTCGATCGCGTTCACATCTAGATGTCTATCGTATCTCAGCGGAGTTCTGAGTGCTTTGTAATAGGAGTACAGACAATTTACTGCCGTGTGTGTGTGTGTCTAAATAAATTGTCTTCTGCGTTAAATTTTACCCTCAGTGGAAATTTAAATAATGTCAGATCTAATGCTGAGCTGCTTGTTCCTCCCTAATGGGTATTTCGGAGGGAACATAGGAAATTGGGGGAAAAAAGGGACTCGTGAATTTACATTCATCATTCTCCACCCCACTGTTAAAGCTGTGGTCGTCCAGGTTGCCAAAATGTTGGCAGTCCTTTTAGATTGCCAAATTTTGACCGTCTTTTGGAGGATGCCAACTTTTGGCCTCTTTGCTTGCCAAAAGTTGGCCTTCTCTCAAAAGGAGGCCGTCTTTTGGCAACCAAGAGGCCGAAATTTGGCAGCCTCCAAAAGACTACCCAAATTTGGCAATAAAAAAGGGCTGCCAACATTTTGGCATGTTATGCGACCACGGCGTTAACAGTGCCCATAGAAACTCTTCGAGAGAGACGGGAACTCGCGCTCCTAAACGCTGCGCTACGGTTGCCCGAGGTGCTCTGAACCACCCACATCCCCCGATTAGGCGGCCAGGCGTGCTTAATGGCAACTCATTAGAAAATCAAAGGTGTGAATGAGCACCATTTATTGACCCGTTTGTTCACGTGGTCAAAGTATTAGTGTCCTCGAAAATTCCTTGTATTTAGTGCTATCCTTTCTTATACAGCCAGATTTTTGGACTGGCTGGGAAAGGTACGGTGCCCGGATAATCACAGCGCAGGGATTTGTAACCCGAGTTGACGGCCCTCTAGGACACTACTCAAATTAGTACTGAGTAGTGGAGAAAGCGTATACACGTGGTCTCAGTTATATCCGTTTCGTTTCCCGTTTCTGAAGTTCTCAGTTTCGTTTGCTCTATTCCTTGGGCATCTGCTTGTTTTGATTGCGGTTGCTCCATCAGTTGTTCTGTTTTTTCCGGTTTTGTCAGAAGTTTTTTTTAGCAGACTAGGTGATCGATTATTTGTAGTTCTATATCCGGCTTCCCGGCATTACAATTTTTTCCAGTAACTTTTGTTAGTATTCTGAAACGTTTTGTAATGGAACAGTAGACGTGTAAGTTGATAACGTGGTTGTAAAGACATGCAACGAGTCACCATATAAGTTGATATTGCGTTCTCCCGAAGAATACTTTCTCCTATAGTCACCGCTGCTCAGAAATATTTAATATGCTGATGTCAGCACCTCGCCAAACTGCTGATTAATACAGCTCTTTTTTAAAAAAAATGTCCATAAAACTAATATTAACTAACCAACGTCACACATTTAAATAAATTCCGATAAATGGGATTGTGATTTAACTACAAAACGAATTAAAATACCTTACTCAACCATTAAAACATAGACGTATTGCTTGCATGTACAAAGGAGTTGTTCACTGCTCATTCCCCATTGTATGTGTGCTTTTTAAATTTATGCTTCTTACTTTACAGCCATTCTGTTCTCCGTTTTCAATGCAATGGCTTATGATTATTTTAAAAATTGATGAAAATGATACCTTTCATTTCAAAGACTTTCAAATATGTAATTAAGAAGCGTATTTTTTCTTGGCAGTAGTACGTTTTGTAGAAAGATTTAGCTTTTCTATAATTCAATTAATTGCACGCTTTGGAAAAAACGTGCTTTCGTGTTTCCTAGATTTCATGAAGTTTGTCTTGTAAGAAACTTGCTGGTATGCGTGTAGTCAGTAATGGTTTTTAAAGTGATCGTTCGTAGGGGCCTGTTTTATCGTTGTAGTTCATGACAACTTAAAAAAGGCGACTTGAGTTTTTACCGATCGTAGTGTAACTGTTTAGAATTCTACAGTAGCTGAGCATGAAAATCAAAACGCATATAAAATATACCCTGAAGGTTTTTACTTTACATTTGTTCTGAAAAAACTTTATCATTTTTGGAAAAAATTTAAAACTTTCAGTAGCTGTTGAAGAAAGGATGTCTTATCTTATAACTATACTATACGAAGAAAGTACACATAAATTAAATTTGTCTATGCTTTGGCTGTAGACGATTTAACCTACTACTGGACCAGAAATTTTTTTGGAAAATATCGACAAGCCTCATGGTAGCTTGTCCCTCTCTTTCACTTCGTTGGACATGATGCCTGTCACATTTTTGCCAGACTTCTTCGTGTCCTGAGATAGCTCAAATCGTCGTTATCACTCACGTTCTTTATTCACTAAGCTAAGGCAATCTTCAACATCTATCACGAAAGCGCCAAAACTTTCTTTGAAAATTAATATCTTATGTATAACGTTAAAAAAATCAGGTGTGCTCTGCTTATTTATGTGGCACTACTAATTGTTATATGTTCTTATAGGAGTGGACGGACTACAACTTAAGATGGAACCATTCAGAATACGGCAACGTTAAGGATCTTCGCATCACACCAAATAAGATCTGGAGACCGGATGTACTAATGTATAACAGGTAATTCACCACTTTCTTCTACGCCCCTATACTGTTCTAAAATATTGCATTGGGTTTTAAACTGGGCTAAAGAATCATTTCGTAACTTAATTCGTTAGTATATTGACGTACCAACGTTTTAATCCACTAAAACTGATTCATTTTTTTAGTATTCCCTTATTTTTTTTGTCTGGTATCTGGTACATTGCGTTATCGCTGTGTGTTAGTCCAATTCCTCATATGAGGAATCGTGTGACGAATATTGTTACGCAACTGTACACGGGGTTAATTGTGAAGAGAAAATGCTTGAAAATAGAGGCATTTGATTTGACCGTATTCTGTTTGTATGAATAAATTGCACTTTTAAAAAAATTACTGCTGTTCTGTCTTTTTGTAATCTCTGTTCGTCTTTTTGTCATTTGTCATTCCGATCCTATAAAACGAACTATTGTATTATTACGAGCTAAAACCGAAGAAGCTATTGGTTTTAAATACCACATATCTCTAAGGGAAGACAGTGGAGACGTCTCCTAGTGGTCCCCTCTCCTGTCTTCTGCTCGTCTTGACCCTATTTTGGCGGAGACAACATGACAAAAGATGTAAAAAGAAAGAAGCTCCCATTTAAGTGTCGTTTTGTAAAAAACGACGCACAATTAAAGTTTTTGTCGTATCATTCGTAACAGTAAATTTCCAGTAGTACGGTCCATATCATATGCCTTTATACTTCATTTTTTCAAACTCTGGATTCAAATGTGCCATGAATGATCGTCTTTGAAGTCCTTTGGTATTTGTAAATATGCTGTGGGGATAGCGTCCGGTTCGGCCAGTTCTAAGACCGTCTGATAAAAGTAATCTCTAACTAACCACCGCAGTCGAGCGCCCCACTTGCTCGAGAATTTTAAAAATGGAGGCCATACGCAGTGAGCGCATTTCTTGGTTGACAGACTGTAAGAAACAGTGTGCAAAACATATGTAACGTTATATGTGATTTGATATAAACTTGAAGTGAACTTTCAAATTCCCACAATAACATTTTTCTGTGTAAAAATTGCTTTCGTAATATGTTTTGTGTATTATGAACTTTGTTTCCGTTCTCACGCACTCATTTTCTGCATCTTTTATTTTTATCATCCTGTCTTGGCAAAATTGAGATTCTTTCTATGGATCCTTTATTACGTGAAAATGAATCACAAATCACGCATTCTTAAGTCGGTACCATGAAATTTCTTCTGCAAGTGGTCATCTCTCTAAACTGTTGCGTTAAGTGTCAACGTCACAACACTACCTACTTGCCGCACATCGGCTCGTTCGCACTTTATTTCGCAGCATACCAAAGTAAACACTTAAAAATGCTTGATTGCAGTAGCTGCAACTGGTAAAATAATATCAGCTGACACTGTGGCCTCTCTTAGCCGGAAATTACCAGACGTAAATCTCTTCGGAAAAATATCGGGCAAACGATATTATAATCGTGTCTGGCTTTCTATTTCCTTTTCATTTTATCAGTTAGTAAGTATGGATGTGGAATAGTCCAGATGTACTGCCACAGAATTGGCATGTATTATAGAGGATAGAGCGACGTTTATACTACTCCGCTGACAGTGTTAAAGTTTTTCAGCTTGAAGGGCGAGTGCGTAGTATGCTTAGTTGTGATAGAGGGTTCACTCTCATACACTGCTGTAGCTAAGCTTCGCCTTTTAAACAAACACGTCTTCTTAAATAACGCATGTGTAATTCAGTCTGTACGAAAGCATGATAAAACAACCTACCTAAATAAGCAGCCACCTTTACGTAGAGAAATCTAACTGAACGGAAAAATGACCGACTACCACGCTAAACCCTCAAACTAAACAGATATGGGGCGCATTAAATAAACGTGGTTGCCCGCCAACATGGGCCGCTACTAAACAAACTCGCGTAAACCTAACTGCTTGCGCAGTAGCATTTTGTTCCCAACAGGTCGCTCGGACTTCATTTATTATCCTCGAAAGGAGGAAAATGTCTCTTGGTTGGAATTGGTGGGAAAGTTGTTTGTGTTTGTTTTTGATAAGTAATTATTTTAACTTGATTAGGCCACACACTTTGATTTTGGCCACCATTTTGAAGCTATAATTTTAATTTTGAATATCCTGTTCTGCTTTAACTGTATTATCCCTAGTTTTACTCGATTACATGCGTAATTTACACTCACCCGAAATCCGAGTGGCGATTGGGGCCAACTTGCGGCTGCACTTGCTTTTTAAATAAATTAAACCCGGACGGTGGGGTGCTGCGTCACTGGCCTGCCCTCCTCCCAGCAGTACCGCATCAGGATGCAGTCTTAATATTAATTGTAATTAATATATCGCTTACTATTCATTATCCTCCTTGAGATATCTTCAATAGATGGAGTCCAAGCGCGTCGCATGCTGTGCTCAGGATTTTTCCGGGTAGACAGTTATCAATTTCTCCGTTTGCTGCTAGGGAGCACAGATTAAGCCTGGCTCAGTGTTGCTGTGCTGCTCGTTCCTTAAGCGCACTCTCATTCGCGTTGACGATATGCCAAGGAGTTGCTTCCTAAGCTTAGGAAGACAACGCCAGAAAATATGCTTTCCGGTTCTCAGCTTAGTTCCAATGTGCTGAAAAATACATCATCAAAAGAATAAGCAAGTCTCTGTAATACGGAGAAATGTATGCATTCTAAAGAATAATGGTCCTTTAGTGAACATGGGAAGCACGTTTTCCGGTAAATGATGTAATATAATTTCCAACTGGGTAGTCAGAGTAACCAACGTATGTGTGTGTTTGTCCATCCCCTAAGCGCTGATGAGGGTTTCGACGGAACGTACCACACTAATGTGGTGGTGAGAGATTCAGGCAAGTGCCTCTACGTACCACCTGGCATCTTCAAGAGCACATGCAAGATAGACATTACATGGTTCCCCTTTGATGACCAACACTGTGACATGAAGTTTGGTAGCTGGACATATGACGGCAGCCAGGTATACATATTTTAAAGACACCTTCGCAATTATCTTTAAAAGCGATCTTAAATAATTACAAACAAGCTAAAGGGCCATGTTTCAAAGGCAGAAAACGCCCTGATACTCGTTGGGGTCTCTCAATAATGCGTGTCTCAGGGAGTAGGGGTTCAAATATCACGGTCACCTGCAATTGGAGTTGGAGGAGACACCATGACATTTGTTCCTTCCCCCCAGTCACTTAGTATCTGAACGACCCCTTCAGAGGTAGCGGATCATTGTCGTTATTAACGTGGCTCTTCTGAATAGCCCCAAAAGTGAGGAAGGCGATGACTAGTCGGCCACACTCCTCCCACATGAGCATGAAACAGCGTGTATGTGTGTGTGTGTCTGCGAGGGTAGCTGCAACGCCACCTAGATCGCACGGCAGCCGCGCCAGCCAGAGCCATGGGTGTTTCCAAATATTCGACGGAAGGTTCCTAAAATGAATGTTTATGTTTTGGGGCACTAGTTTAGGAACAACTTTTTTGTTTCCAGAAGTAAATAAGCGGGGGAACGTGGGAAACAGCGTAATACGCATGAAGTCAATCATGCAAAATGTCTTATCGTTCTAGAGGTGACAGCAGGCATTTTTGTTTTAATCTAAAAAAAACTTCCCTAAATAATTAGCCTTGGAAGCGCGCTAAACAAAGAGACGCCCATGGTTCGTGACTTGTACTGGCTACGTGTCCAATTTTCTAATCTAAATCACGGCCGCTCTCACTCCGTTCAATTGGCTGTCTGTCCCTCTCACTAACACTATCATCCCTAACTAACCCACATTTTAATCGCTTTCGGTGTGTATTAGTGAGACAGTCTGTTGCACAGAAAGTTCCGAGAGACATGCAACGTGTTAAGCTCTGTTTGCGGAAAGCAATTCAATTTGTGAACATTTTAAAATGCAGTGCATTTCTCAAATCCGGACTAAGTCACCTGATCACGGTGCATACGCACAACCCACACCGCTGTAACAATTTTTTTCTTTTAAATAATGTCTAGTTTTGGTTGTTTATTTGAACAACTTCAAATCCACATCTTTACCCTCCGTAAACTATGACAAAATTAATAACTTACAAGTTCCTTAAAATTTTAATACCTTTTGGACCTAAAAGATGACGTCTCCTTCTAACGGCGTTGTTTGTGCTCTTTGTTCCCTGGTCAGATGATGGAGTTAAGAGAGCGGTCAAAATTTGTGTCATGGCTCTAGCGGTGTTAAGCTTTTTCTGTTGAATGATGTGTGTTTGCTAATTCCTAACCTTTGTGTGGTGCCATACGTGCGCATAGTTGTCACTCGCTTTGCGGACTTAATCTTGTTCTATGTTATAAGGGGGACACACTTACATGACAGAATATTCATAACGAATTACGGGCAATTTGGCTTTGGGATAGACAGTGTCAGGAGAAATTAATTTCGACTTGGACAGCCTTAGTGCTGGGTGTGATTTGGGTGGGAAATCTTGTTTCTAACTCTCCACACCGAGGAAAGCAATGTGCGTACTTTCATTGCAAGGCGTAATTGATGCCTTTTCCCCCTGTCCACAAACGAGCCCCATCTGTGGTCGTTAATATAAACAATATAAAATACCATGTGTAAACGCTAAGTTCGCTCACTGAATGGGAGGTGTTGTGCGCATTGACTTTCCTTACCAGCCGTTCACTCATGTTACACTGGACCATCACTTGGGATCACCATGACTATATGGAACACTATTTTGCATGGAGCAGACCAATTCGGGGCAGCTCTCCTGTCCACTACGCAAGACCCCATCTTCCTTCTTATTGCGTAACAATACTGTACTGAATGAAACTTGGCTGTAACTTAAGGAAGATATTGAGACTGATTATCCTACTGGTGAGTGGCCGCGCTGCTGAATAAGCGCATCCGCTTAGTGACCTGTCACTAACTATAGGTCTTTCTCACAAGCATATTTTCAATGCAGTCGTTTTACCACTCCTGTGGTTTTGGACTGCTTTGCTCCCAGCCCATTATTTAATTTATACCACCTTTATTGTTCTTCTTAAACTGTATGTTAACATGTCGAGATGGAAGGCGTACAAACCTTTCAAAGCAACACGGCTAGGCTCTTTTCTAGATGCCGTGGATTTGTTAATAGAAATGAAATCTAATATGACTTTTTTTAATTTTTATGGATAATGCCCAGAACAGACTTAAAAGCTAAAAGACTGTGAGCAAACATCTATTCTAGCGAAAACTTCCCAATTCTCTCGGCAGGCTACGTTTCCGCCAAGTTTGTTCAGTTCGGTGTTTGTTTGGTCGCCCCAATCGTTTGTTTCAAGAAACTAAACAAATTGCTTGTGGACGGCCGTCTCCCTTCAATGATTTCTTTGAGGCCAGCCGCCTGTAAGCCAAGGCCGCTTGAGCGCACGCCAGCACCACACGTGCTTCATGGCTAAAGCTCTACCATGCCATTTCTTTTTAATCTGGTATCGCGATTGCCCTCTGGAGTAAAAGTGGGATTACACTACTCCATATGAGCTTTGCACTTTGTTTTCTCTGGCTCACGCCGAAAAGAAAGGCGTCCAGTGCATTTATGTGGGGGACTTATATGTGCTCCCCATTGAGCGCTCCTTTGTTTTATCTTTGGTTAGCAGTGCTAGGGGCCAAACCATTTGTAGTCGCATGGATGAATGACTTGTGTTGTAGAGCGACATGAGTGCACTGGAGGACGTGTTCTGCCAAGTTATAATGCTCGGTCGCAGGTAGCTTGCTCGTTACGATAGCTGTGTCGATGGCTAGCGCGAGTCCAAGAAATAAAACCTGCGGGAAAACCCGTTTCGAAAATTTGTGCATGCGAAATGCCAGGCAAATATATAAATGTGCGCAATTCTTAAAAAAAGCACTTTTTCAACCAAGTCTTATAGGATTTCACAGTTAACGTGAAATACATCGGATGTTCTCCCGATGTGCCCTTTCCCATCCGCTTGTCCATTCGATCAGAATAGCTGTTAGCATGCGGTTGAGGGAAATGGGGGTCTGTATTTTACCAGTTGTTGATGGTGCGGTACGAAAATCAAATAGGAGTGGCATGATGAGTGTCTTTAGTGTTAGCTGGCGTGTGCTTTGGGAAAAATAAATGGTGAAAGGCCTGCGGTGCGACTTGCCTCTGTCCCATCCTCTAGACCTCCCCTCTTGCGTAGTCGTCAGTTGAGTGGCCAGCAGGCTGCGATCGAGTGTGCTGGTGTTAGCCGCATGTAGTAGGCCAAATCTTTCTCTTCCCTTCCTGTGTTGACATGTTTTTATCTATCTTCTACTTCTTCCTATTTTGCACTCGTGTGAAAGCCCAGGGCGCCTCGTTGTTCCCCTGGTCTAGTGTCGTGCAGCGGCATGTGTCTGCTTTGATGTTAATCCAAGGGAGACCCTCGGATTTGCGGATAAGCACGGGCAGGGGTCCTTTAGGCCCTTTACTTTTTAGTTGTGGTGTACCGCATGTTGGCGTGATCGTGGGTTGTCTGCTCGCTTTGGGCAATATAAGGTGCCATACTCAGTGATGAAAGGCAATCATCCCGCATGCCTTCATTCCGTGCAGTAAAACTAGTAAGAAGTACGGGGCCTATTGAACACTCAAATATGCCGCTGGCCCGGGCTCGGTCTGCATGCGTCGTGTGTGTGTGTATGCGTGTACGTGCGTGTGCGTGGGAGGCTTCTGCACCAAGTAGATATAGCAGTTCGCGTCGTGAAAGAAACATGAGATGATTTGTTTTTTGTAGCAATGCATTTATGTCGCTTGAACTTATCAACACATCTCCACCCGCCAGGTTTGAATCGACTCTGCCACTAGTTCTAAATGCACATTTGTGGTGTGTGTGTGGATATTCTGGCTTTAAAATCTACCATGATTGTTGTAACTATGTGAACGATTTTAAAAGCCTGGCGGCCAAATGGAGAACACAAAACGATTAACAAGTTTACAGACTGACATTTTGTTTATGACACGGTACTTCGTGTAGTTCCGTTGTTGTGATCATGCTTTCGTACAGTGTTACATTTAGCTTAGCAAGATGACATTGCAACTGCTTTCAAAGTGCCATTTCAAAGTAATTTAACTCTAGCTAACTAAACTCGATGCTTGCAGTGCATCAACCTTCACCATTTTCTTTTTTAAAGAAAAAGAAGTAGACCGCAAGTCTTTCCTAGTCGTCATTTTAATAGCGTCTCCCGTAGCAACTGCTTTTTATGTGCTACATGGGAGTTCTGATCTTTGACCTCACTTTGTGTTAGGGTGCTCGATAGGTTCTCTGTAGCGGATGACGAAGAACGAAAACGGTAGAAGTAAAAAATTGTGAGTCTGATAAAATTGTCTTTCATTTTGGATTTTTGCCCCATATCTGAGGGGAACGTCAAGGTGCCACAAACCTTACAAGAATTTCTTAAACATTGATTCGACTACAGTTTCATACTTCCGTTACCAATTTCATTCCGCTAGAGCACACGTTGGAGTACCAAATTTCTTCCTTAATATCATAACTCACCTTAACGAATTATCAGAGTGTTCACAATCATACTTCCTGACATGTGTCGATACGTAAATTCATTTTGCTCATATTTATTACACGAGATTTCTTTGCATATTTATAATTATGTGAATAATTTAAACTGCCAGTAGAATTTTAACATTGACTGCACAGATAAATGAACTGTTCAGCCCTTCAGCACTTGAAAGCTTTGAAGTGCTAGTTGTGCACTGTAAATAGCTCAACTTTGTAGTTGTGCACATAATAGAGTGCAACTCCTCTGTCACATACTTTCTACGCAGTACGTGCCAGTGAAGGAAGTTTTCAACAAAAGTCAAAGACTTCAAAGAGCCTCAATAAGTGGCGAGTACCACACTCCACTTTCACTTTGAAGTCCACAACCGCCAAGTTGTACTCTTTGAAGTACGTAAATAGCGGTTGAACAGTGAAGTGTTGAGGGGTTGGTCACTTTATTTATTAGTGGAAGGCTCATATAATAAACGTTTGCATGAAACCCTAATTTGATATTTGTGAGAACAAACCGTCAATTTTAAAAACAAAAGTGTTCTTTGACGTTTAATGGTACACTCTGAGCAGCTTGGAACTTAAAAATTGGTGGGCACAGCCTTTAACCATTAGACTATAAAATTATATTTAATAGCAAGTTCGTGCTTCCAATGTTCTATGAATCAATGCTGGTCCGTCAGAACCACACCAGTTGGTTGATCGTACCCGGCTACTTCTGTAGTTTATCTGTAACGCATGTAAGGGCGTGGGCGGACTCGCCTATCATCGCTTGGTGTAAGTAATCGGGGTAGAGAGGGCGTTGCCTCTTCCCGACCCTTATACGTCCCTCATGCAGGTCGCTGTTTATTTTACGTATTTTCTGTTTTTAACCTGAAACCAACGTTGCCTTGTATGTATTTTGATTTGTATACAGTTTGCCTTAGCTGTAAATTTAATGCGGTGTAGATGTACTTTTGTATTATCTTAGTTTTCCTAAACCGTTTAAGTATCCAATGCTGTTCAGCGTGTACCAAAGCTATTAACTTGCTTTCAAAACTAGTTAGGCGTAGTTCCAAGGAAAACGTAGTCTTGTGACGTATGAGTGGGGCGCCACAAGCGGAACTGAACAAGTGTGCAATAAATGTTACCAATAAATCCAAATCAGACTGAAAATTGTTGCACGTAACTAATACATTTGCGTTTGCTTGTTTGGTGAATTTCTTGCAAGTTCACGAAATGTAAAAAAAAAAGGAGATGATAGGGTTCTGTGGGGAGTTCCGCTTGGTGGTTGCGGTGGGCGCGCTGCAGGGCGAGGCATGCACCCTCCAGTGCTTCTGTTTCAGCTTGACCTCATTCTCAACTCGGAGGAGGGCGGTGACCTCTCTGACTTCATTACGAACGGGGAATGGTATCTACTGGGTAAGTTGTTTTCTACTTGATCCTCCAAGGCAGGACAAAGAGAAATGCTGCAGAGAGTGTCAATGCGAGGTATTCACAATATCATTGAGATACTGTGCTAGACTTGCGCATTTCATCCCGCTGCACTATATTCTGTATGTTCTTGACGTAGTCAGTCCGCGCGTGGCTTTGTAAGGCCCGCGTAGTCACTAGGGTGATGGATTTGTCGCACACGGTGCCCAAGTTCACCGTCCCATCACCATATAGATATCTGCACAAGTACCAAAGTTGATATCTCTTTCCGCAGTAGATTTGGTTTATTTGGCATTCCAGGGCATATATCCCCGAACACTCCTAAATGCACCCGACTCCTCTGAGCAATTCCCCGTGTTTCCTGGACCGCACCAAGAAATTTGGGATGTCGTTCTGAAGGTAATCAGAGCATTTGGGGCTGTTCTTCGTAGCTCTCGTGATGACCAAGTTTTCTCTATTGAAGTACCGTTTGTTTCTTCGCAATTTGTATTTTGTTGAGTAATCGATTTGCATATCACTCAGTCGAAGTCCCAGAAGACCCTCCAAAAGTTCGCGCTTCTCATCAGGGCTTTCAAATATCACCAGTTGTTCATGATAGCTTGCAGCGGAGACTGTCGCTGAGAGAATGATACTCCCTGAGTTTGGGGGTCGTCCTTAAGTAACTGGGCAAATAAATACATTAAATTAGTTTGTTAATAAATGATTAAAAAAGATACACGTTTTCAATTAAAATTGTAAAAGTATTTAAAGAAAATGATACCAAATTATTGACTATGATTAACTTATTTAGTACACTGATGATTTTGCTAACTGCGAAGGAAATTCAACTTTGTCATGAATAAAAATATTGTATGAACCGAAATGATAAACTACCATCGACTGTTCTATGCCTTTTGGGAAAATCCTGCCACGTTGTAAATGTGTGAAAATAAGTTACTATTTTAACAACCGTATTGTCTACAATTCTGTCTAAAATTCCAATACATTGTATTTTAGATTCGCATTAACCACGGCTAATTCTTTAGAAAAATATTCATAAAATTGTATGACGTAACTTTTGCCTAATAATTCATATTTGTCGCGATGCGCATGTGTTTGTTGCCAATAATTGTCCGTCAAACTGTCCCCCCTAATCTAAAATTTGCCTTTTAAGCTACACAAGACAACACCTAATCAAGCTTTTACCGCGTAAAATGCTCTTTGACTTGGACTGGCCCCTCGACTTGGAGACGGGTTCCCCTTCAAGCTGTCGTTTGCTGCCGGCTCACTGTGGTATGTGGCGCAGGGATGCCCGGCAAGAAGAACGTGAACATGTACGCCTGCTGTCCGGAACCGTACGTGGATGTGACGTTCACCATACAGATCCGGCGCAGGACGCTATACTATTTCTTCAACCTCATCGTGCCCTGCGTACTCATCAGCTCCATGGCTCTTCTCGGGTTCACTCTGCCACCCGACTCCGGGGAGAAGCTCACCCTAGGTAACCCCCTTCCATGTTCCTTCTCTTCCTGACCTGCCTGGGCCTCTGACAGCCGTCTTCGGGCCAGCCTGTCAGAGGAGTCGAACATCCCCTCTCGCCCATTTTGACGAACTGGCTGGTAAAGAGCTAGGTCTGGAGGCGCTGTCAGGCGTCCGTGGCAAGAAGCAAAAAGTGCCAGTCAGCGATCAAGGACCGCGCAGCGACTTGCTTTTGTCGTGAACTGGTCGCTGGTGTCACTTGTGCTAAATGCAAGGCAAGTCCATGGTCCGGCCGTCCAACGTCTCGCTCTGGTTGCCCCTCGGGGCTGCAAGCTGGTGAGAGAGATTGCTAGCTAATCAGAGCTTGGGCGGTCGGGACATTGACTTGCCTTTTGGGGGCCCCTAAATAAAACGAAAGTGCATCCAATCTAAATAAACAAAACGCCCGAGACCCCAAAAATATTTGATTTTATTGCATGCGCCTGAAACTGTGACAGGACGTCACAATTTCGAGTATTTCGATTTTTGAAATTCAACTTGTGTTGAATTTATGTTATTTTGGTAGTTGGCTCTTTGCCACAATTTGCTTGAAGAGACTCTTTGCTCTCTTTGTAGGTTACATTGAGCCATGTTCTTCGTTTTCGACGCATTTTGTGGTATGTCATGTCATTTTCTTCCAGCTCAGATCGTCCATACTGCTGTCAGCGTATTTTGTTGCGTATTGTTGCGTATGTTGAGCTCCTCCTTTACACTGCATGATTCAGTGCACTGAATTAATTGAACCCAAATATGATTCACATTAGGTAGAGTTGGGTCGTATGTTTAGGAAAAGTCGCGCACAAGTACTTCTTGCGAGCTGTTTTTAGAAGTAAACATTTGCAATTGTTTACTTTGATGAATATTATTCATTATGTTTGGATTGATTGCAGTGTCCTGCTCATGGCATGAATCCATAGGGTAAACAAGAATATCGTTTACACAACCACCATTCCCATCCCGGATAAGTTGCCGACTTACTGGGTCCAGCATCATCCCTGTGAGATACGAGATGTGGGTCACCACCCCTCCCGCTGTCCTCAATCGATACCTGCGTGCTCCTTCTCTCTCTCTCTCTCTCTCTCTCTCTCTCTCTCTCTCTCTCTCTCTTCCCACCCACATCTCTCAGCCGGTATTTCTCTTACTCTCTCGTTAGCTCTGCCCCCCCCCCCTCTGCGCCTCCCTTGCCACTCCTGTCCACCACTCCTAATTCTCATATCCTTTGGCACAGACATACATTGCTTTTATTCTCCATTCTTGTCAGACGTTCTAGTGGGAAGCAAGGGGGACTTATAATAATTGGTTCTTGCGTAATGGTGGGTGTTGTCGGGGCTCATACCAACGACAGGTGTATGGGCGTTATCTGGGTAGAACTTTTTTTTTTGTATTGAGATCAAGATGGAGGTTGGTAAGTAAAATCGACATAACACAGGGGGAGCTCTCATGCAGTGGAATAAATCTCGAAGTGATCGTTTGTTTCTTGCAGGGGTCACTATTCTTCTTTCGTTGACTGTTTTCCTCAATATGGTGGCGGAATCAATGCCCACTACTTCCGACGCGGTGCCTTTAATAGGTATGGTGATATCCAATTGGGGCGCCGGAGTTTCTGATACTTGGAGGCAAGAAAAATGGCTGAGTAAAGTTCAGCGAGAGCTGGTCCCCAAATGGTGCACTGTGCCCCTTCCTTACTTATATCCCCCTCCTTGCACTGGATTCACGCTGAAGTTTGTTTTCTTTCTTATTCGTGCAACGGCGTAGTCGTAGGTTCGGCATGCGGATATTTCCCCCCTCAGATTGTTCTTTCTTAGATCCACAGGAGTTTTTGTACTGCAGACGTTTTAATTATACCGAAGCCCGTTTGATACTTCAGTTCTGTGTGCTAAAGCAAGAGGAAAATCAACTTCGTTTGTCATAATTCAAACAGCTGAGATCAATGTCATGTACACGCTTAAACGACTTATTTCCTAATACCAATTAGCGTTACCTGCTTTTGTTTTGTTGTGTTAACTTGTTCAATACTGTCAAAAAACACGTTTTTTCGACTTAAAAAAGATGTCCCTTACGAAAATAATCAGTACCCAAACAGTCCCCAAACGGTCTCATTCAGTCCCCAAACAGGACCCATTCAGTACGTTCGCTGTGAGACTAGTGC